TTCAAAAGAACAAGTTGACATCAACTGCATAACCTATTAGCAATATAGTAAGGCTCCAAACGCCACGTTCAACCTTCTTGTTAGACTCTTTATCGACTCGACCATCTTCCATCGATGAATGATCATTTAGAATTCAAAGCAAACTGGAACCCAATGTAGTCCTTGATGGCTTGGCAGGGTGCCAAAATGTAAATGAACTGCTAACCTTGAAGGAACTCGCTTTGATCACACGGATATCAGCTGGAACGCGATCGCCAAACTTCACTTCAATTATGTCACCGACGACCAGAGCCTCTGCAGGAGCGTCAATCCTTTGTCCTCCACGAATCACCACCGCATACTGCATAATAAAAACAACTATAAAAACAAGCCAACTATATTCACCAGCACCATCAACGGGTTGCGTAGAGGTTCATAGAACATTTCGTACGCGTTAGGGGATAACAGTGAGTGCAATCAACGCCAAAAACGACGCCGTCATCATATTACTAAGACCACCTATCTGTGAGTTCTTAAAATCTCCTGTGTAAAGGGTTTTGGGTATGAAAAAAGAAATGAGTCTGCCTTTTAATATTCATTAAAGCAGAATGCTTTAATGAATATTGACAGAGGTAGTGAGCGTACTTGTGGGACCATCTTGGCAAAGGACTCCATAATTTTCGACGACTTGGATTCCTGATAGTAGGAAAAGCAACCAGTGATAATGACGACGGCGGCCAACACGATGCCAAGGTACAACTAAAAACAAACAGAATCCTCAGAAGTAAACATCAACGCTTCAACTAAGAGACTAGATATGAATTACTAATTTTGACGCTTTGCCCTTATCAAACATGTTTAGTCCTTCTCCTAGGTTACACTGTAACACGCAAGACAACATCCCAAGAGAACCACAACTATCGGTCAAATATTTTTAGTTAAAAACAAACTACAATCATCCTTACACATTACCAATGAAGAATAGATTATGAATAGATTGAGATATCTCAAGTCATTCAACTCACGTTATCATTAGTTGGGTTTTCCTGGACTCCAGCAAGAATTGCATGAGCAATAAAACAGAGAACAGCACCAATCCACAAAAGCAGCGAAAAACCACCAAACATATTCTTGCAAAACTTTACCCATTCCGGGGTAGTTTTTGGTGGTGTTAGAGCATTTGGACCATCACGATCTAAACGGGTCCTGGATTTGTAATTGCAGCACAGTCATTCACTTACTTTGCTTGCTCACTAGTAAGACCGGTCTCCGGATTTGTCCCAAGACGTGCATAGAGTTCGTCCAAGGATATCTGATGCTCATCCATTGCGAGCTCTTGTTTAAGCTCGTTAAGATCTTTCTTTGCATCTTTCTTTGACTCCGTTGCATCACGGTACTTGTCTCCACGCTTTAAAAACACGGTTTATTAGCAATATGAGTTAGTGGTTAAGATATGATACAACTATTAATTCTTAATTTACCGATTTTTTCATCGTTGTTAAACAACAAACGCAAGTCACAACGCAAACCAAGCGCTGTTGTAAATGCCAGTGTTAACTCTCTTGTCTCCAATACCTTAGTAAAACAAAGCATTTCAAGCGCAAAAAATGTATATGGTGACTTTTATATTTAGCAGAAAACACATATGTTAGCTGAAAAATATTTGCTTGTTTTTAGTCTAATCCAGTATTATTGAAATTAGCTGGTTCGTTTTTAATGAAATTCAACAAAATATGGCAATTACATTAAGAAGTTAAAACATTTTTTTGTGTACTGAGTTACAGTAGGAGACTATCTTAGTATTTAAATCATAATCACTACAGATATTTCAAATAACTGCGCTGATATTTTAATGCAATTTGTAAAGTCTGTGGTTAAAATATACAGCAACTATTAATGCTCCGTGGCTTTCCATCTGGAGCAGAGGCGCATGTGTGCTGCTTAATTATAAATAGTAAGCAACTGTACCTGCAAATATTACTCAAATCGCTTTGAAACATTAGGAGTTGTATTGGTACAGCTTACAATCACAGTGTCGCTATTTTTTGCAAAGAATGAACACCGTCTTGCGTTGTCATCAGAACCACTGGCTAAGTAATCAACCACGCCCTATCGTACACAAATATTTTCGCAACATTTGCAAAATGGAATGGATGATGACCGTTATGTTTGCATGCTAATGGTAGTAGTAGTTCACATATGGAACCTAGTTATACAGTTTCTAGTTGCTCAGACAACAGCCTAGGTTTGATATGGTCGATCCAACGGACGAAAGCCCGCAAAGCGATTCCAACCCAGTTAGATTAGCCTTTAAAATTAACTTCATGCAGAAATCTCGAGGAGATAGTAAAACAACAACCGATTTCATTACAATTCAAAAGGGCTGCGGTAGCTACTAGAACACAAAGGCAAAGGGGAGGTTTTCGATTTAGTGATTTAATAATATCTGTTTGACAAGGGGCTGACATAGTTGCCTTCAGATGTTGGAAAATAGCTGTGCAAGCAAACAAGCAAGATGCTAAGAAGGTGTGCATGCCCGGTCAACTAGCAATTCACATCAATGTGATCATTCTGCTTTGCCTTGCTTTACCCCATGCGGAGAACGTCACTGCATCGACAGACGCAAAATTTTCTCTCTTTTGTAACATGAAGAAAAGGTCTTTAACTAGACCAGTGTTGTTTGAGAAAGAATCACTTTGTCCAGGTCTGCCAATCTTTATTTGTGCATTCAGAGAATCTTATCATATCTTATCGCACCCTTTCGAAGGTAATCATACTTCAGAACCAGAAAATGCGGATGATCGTATTAATAAACACATCTGCTGTTCACGGATTACTGTACAAGAAAATAATTTAAACTGTTTCACGACCAGGATTCGAAACAACGGCTTAAAAAAGAACGTCTAGGTAATTCGGACGAGCCTCCGTTCATTTCTGAAGCCACCAGTCGAGGCAAATCAGACACCACTATTTAAGTGGCAAACTGAAATTAGAGCACTGTGGTAAACGCCTTTAACCATCTGACGCTTTGTCAAAGGCAGCTCAGGGAAAATGGAAACGCTAAAAATACCTCGAAATGGTACTCAGATTATTGGTGGCACTTTTTCCATATCCACGCTCGAACCCTTGCAGTTTGACCAACAAATAAGCGGTGATTGTGTTGAATGGCATTTTAAGCATACAAAGCGATGAACCCCTATACTTATTATATGCACGTACCACTTAACAATTGCTGCCTGCGAGGTGTACAATCCTGCTATTCATGACATAGAAAAACACGTAATCGTTTCATAACTTTCAGACTCGTATTTCGTGGGTAAGTCAGGGTGTTCTGACTTGACAATTTTGTCGTTAGATAATGGTAGAGGTGTTTGTGGTCATGGGCAAGTGGAAAGTTGATAGACATCGACGACACAACAAGAGTGGTGTTTCGTGCAAGCAGTGTTTTTGAAGCTATTTAGTGAATAATATTGATTTACTTCCATTAACTCGGTCTATTCGCCTAAATAACGAAGCTGGATGGCATATTTTCAATGAAAACGAATG